ACCTGTTCAACCTCCATTTATTTTAATAATTTCTTCAAAAAGCAATATTTCTGAATGCTCTCTTCACGCTGCTAAGAGTACATCTTACATGGGATATCGTCTGGGATCTCCTTGCCCTAAAACGAAAGCAACAGTGTCAACATCCAAAATAATAATAGAAGAAATGGCGTGACTGCCCCGTTCTACCAATTGTCAATATGTCGCAATGCTTCAAACGACAGGCTTCTAGACCATTAAAGTTTGGACTAATCAGGATCGATTTTTTTCTCTGTGACGTGGACTCTATTTATCAGATCTAGAAAACCACTCTTGTCGTTTCTCCAATGTCACGTGGCACACTGCTACCCAGTATCTGAAGGGACTGGTTCGATCCTAAATTCCAACTGAAGGAAACAATTGAATGAAGGTTACCTAAAGGCTGGGTGAGGGGTTAGATGCCATTACCATTACCTACGTTGATTTAACTCTCAAAGTAACTAAGTTTTCACCAGGACAATCTATTCACAGCACAATGCCCTTTCGTGTTTTTTATTTGTTTTTTGACCGAGCCGGGGTATTCGCGAAGCATTGATTAGTGTCCTGCTGCGCTTTTGTATTCCGCAATTCAAAGTTAACTTGGGGGCTTTTATCACACATCATGGTGGACCATGTTGCAGCGCAGATCTTCGAAACCAGATCGAATTCATCATTCCATGCTCCTAAATATTTTATTCGCTCTCCGCTTCAGTCTGTAATATTTCAACTTGTTGCATGCTTACGATCCTTCTCGAGCTCTAAAACCTCAGAGCGCCAGTAGGCACTCTTCTCCCCATGTACACACGATGAAGTGCACTGCTCAACAGCTCCATGACAAGCCTCACCGCGATATTCGCCGCAACCAGAACCTGATCGATGTCGATACTCGGTGCGCGCCGTTTAGTTCAGAGCAATTGACTTCAGATTCTTCACTGATCTTGGCAGATGTATCTGCAGCTGCGTCAGTGTTCTAATCCCCCCCCCCAGTTTTGCTGCATGGAGATCCCCACGCCCAGCAAAAGCATCAGGGGGAGAACTTAGTCACCATCCTTCAAATAATGGGATCAATTTCCACGTAATGCAGTATCGCCGACGACTTGCCGCTGGATTGAAGAGCGCTGTGAATGGCGGCGAGGATAATGGTCTGACGGTACCAGACTGCCAAGTTTTTGCACAGGGTCGTTAAGTTAAGGCTCGTTATATTTAGAGAATCTGCGGATGATCCTGAAATTCTGTCGTCCTAAAAACGTCTGTCGCTTTTTGACTAAAATTTGATTGATGCCGTCAACCCCGATACATGAAATATTGAGGCCAAAACCAGCAAAAGAACGGTTCCGTCGAAAAGTTCGGAGCACGGTTTTCGATTTTATATAATTTTATACTTTCAACACTAATCTTGAAATACAAAGCATCATGTTGCGATATTCTCCTTGCTTCTTCCTTGGCTTGAGTACACTCACGTGTTAGCTTGAACTCCTGCTTTTGAAGCATTCTAGAGCGCAACGCTTCATTCGACCTTTGTATACTTGGGTACTCACTGCAAACTGCAGGATCTTTGCAATATTCATGCATACTTTTTGAAGGCAAACCAGACCTTCACAGGACCAACACCACAAGTTCCGGCTCTCGTAATAACTCTAGGCAGTTGGATTTCAAAGTGGTTTTTTTCTACTTGCGCAAGCTATTCTTACTTCTGTGGAAGCTTCAAAGAACTGAGATACACTCCATGCTATGCTTTGGAAAGGCAGGATGGATAGAACACAAAGCTGGGCTTCCATGGAGCTGAGTGCATGAATGTGGAATCTAACAGTCTACTTTGCTACAGAACCAGATGTTGGCAGTTGAACTTAACCAGATGACGAACAAATTTTTATCTGACAAGAAATTGAAAAGATTAGTTAAACGGTAATGATCGGTGGCGAAGGCGCTCCACATGGTTGCCTTATATCAACAGTAATGGGTATGGGACATCTACAAAAAAGTATGGGACATTGCATCAAATAATAGGAGATTCAAATTATTTACTACAATAAGAAAGAATCTAATTAATATATATGTGTATATATATATATATATAGTTGTGAATTCAGGATTTTTTTCTGAGAGGCAATACAAGTAACCTTGGTTTTGTATTTGAAGAAAACCTCTAAGTCCTATTATATCAGTATTAAAATTAAATATATAGTAATTTTATTAATAGAAATAGTAATAAATAATTAAAAAAAATATTAATAAAATTTATACATCATGATGTTATGAAAATACACAATCAATCTTTTATTCTTAATGAATCTAAAAAGTAATATAATTTACCTTTTTGTAGTCTGATAGTAAATATGATGCTATGCAATGATACATATTGCAAAATAACATAGAACTAATAAAAACACAAATTGATATTATTTTGATTAAATAAAAATCCAAAACATATCACTCATGTTTTATTTCAAAGCATTTGAAGTAAAAACATGTAAACTACTAGACTTATTGTAAGAATAATTTATGTTATCTATAATAGTAAGGTATTAAAAAATTATAGATTATTTGAGTAGCTTTATTTTAAATATGCATTTTAGAAATAAAATTAATATGTATGTATATATATATATATATATATATATATATATATAGATTTTTTTTTCTATTAGATAAAACAGATGATATTTTACATATGTTTTAAATTACATATATAAATATATTACAAGAATCATGATACAATTTAAAATATGCATGCTATTGTCACCTTGAATCTTCTATTTTATTATTAATTTAAAGACAAGTCCAACTTATAAATTGAGAGGTTCTGCAATGAAATATGATAATGTTTATCTTTCTACTCCAAGTTAAATTATAAAAAAACTACCAAAAACTACATATTCTAATGTAAAAATTAAATATTATCAAATTTTAAAATCTGACTTAATCTTAATTTCTTCTAGTTATATTTTAAATTTTAGCTTGATCCAGTATGTAGATTAACAAATATTTCAAATATCTTAACAAATTACAAATCACCAATTTTTAATGCTTTCTTGTATAGATGATCAAATACTTACCAACGGCACTAGTAAAATAATATTTAATTTAAAAACTATAAATTAGTTTATATGATTTTTCCTTTTAAGATCTTTCTTATTTTATATTTTAACATATACTACTCTTTTAGAATCCTATTAAAATTGATTGTGTAACTACATCATCTGACCTCCAAAAATAAATGCCACTTATTTTTTATATATATATATATATATATTGTGGTTTAGAATCATATATCAACCATGTTTTACAAACAAATAATTCTTAGACATCAAGCTTATTATTTTTATATTTTATTTTGTAAAAACTTAATCTAAATTTTGCTACAAAATTAATATTAATTTCTATTTCTACTGTTGTACTTCCTCGATTTCACTTGACCAAATCATAGCCCTAATAAAGAGGTAAAAATCTAATTCACTTATTTGTTTCTTTTTTATTATAAAATATAATCTAATTCATAAACATTTTAGCTAAAAATTATCTATTAGTTCTTAATCCATGAAAAAAAAATCCTAAAAAATTGTATAGGAATTTTCTCAACATATCTTAAATTTTTATTCATTAAAAATTATATATATATTTTTAAAGAATTTCTATAATTCTCACTTTTACCAACTATGTTACAATACAAAAATGCATATACAATGCATCCTATATTATATTTATTTTTAATTATCCGAAAAACTTATTGAAACTAAATTATAGACTAGACATAATTTTATATTTGAAGTTTAAATATATAATAAAATATTGTAGATTTTTTTAGAAAAACCTTAGTATTTAAAAATTTAATAAAAATAAATTATATCTATTAAATAGATTAGTATTATTTTCATCTTTTATGTTTTGATTTTATTTGATGTTTACCAATAAATCATGTTCCTAAAAAAGCTTTGGTTCATTCTTAAATATTTTTAGTAAAAAAATTAATGTATATTTTGTAAAAATATTAAATAAATAATAGTTATTTAAAATAAAAAATATTTAAAATATTTGTATTTATTTTAGAATAATAACTTAGAATAAATTATATATATATGAAAATAAATCAACCAATTTCAACCTAATTTTTTTAATGTTTGAGACTTAGGAATAAATTTCTTGTTAAAATCTATTAAAATTTAAGAGTAAATGATAAATATTGAGAACCTAAAATTGATTTAGTAGTAATTAATATCTTTATTTAGTAAAAGACATAAGAGACATAAAATCAACATATAATATAATAGTCATAATCAAAATTTTAAAAAGAATATTCTATCAAATCACACTATGTTAGTCATAGTAATATCATCCCCTCTCTTGATTACTAGCATCAAGAGAGGGGATGATATTACTATGACTACCTGATGAGGCCCTTGTGCATCAAGGATTTTTTAGTACACATGAATTTACATGTTGCTCAGTAGATACTTGATCATGTTGATTGTCACATTTCATAACCTTGTTGGAATGGTACATGAATGATGTTTCTGTACAAGTACAATGCTGTTGATTGATGAATTCTGGAAGACAAATTTTGCAACAAATTAAAATTAATAATAAATAAAAATAACTGTTCCAAAATGAAAAGAAAAAGCAATGATAATTGTCAAATATAACAGATGCATGAGCAACACCAACACCTGATCCCATGGTTCATGAATGCTGTGGAAGTAGTAGGCCAACAAAATTCATGTTTCAAACAATAGAACAGTAAAAGGGGTGCCATTCAGAAACAAAAGAGAGTGATGGTGAGGGATTATGATGCATTGCAGATAATATGATAAAACCATGCTACGCTTCAATTTTACTACAGAAAGTGTTCATTAGAGGAAAGAGAAACTGTAAGTCTGCAGGAGAAAGAGTCGGAACACAATCTAGAAACACCTTAAATGTTCTCCGGTAGAATTAGAAATACTGACGAGTTCCGCCAAGGGAAAGACTAAATGAGTGCGCTACAGGGGATCGGACATTATTCCCTCGCTACGAGACTGACGATTGCATTTAAAGGTGTCTCGGTGTAATGCGAAGGAGAGGGTCCAACAAGCTCACACTCAGAACTTTCGGTAGATTTTATGTGCAGAGCTTCGGGTGCTGGTTAGAGGGAGAAAAGTGAGCTTTGAATTGGCCTGTAAAGGTTAAACGATTGGCCTTTCATATTCCTGCCAACTTCGACCTGCACGTGGATGTGAATTCCGCTGCTCCATGTGGCTCAGACATTCCCTTTTTCTTTCTTGTGCAAACAGTTGGAAGTGCGAGGAATTTGAAGCAAAGCGGTCGTACATGTAGATCAGATCATATAGTTCATTTAGGTTGGTGTTTGGTTTCGATTCGAGCTGGGGCGTTGCTGTTGCTCAGTTTCCTTGGAGGTCCAGTTTTGGAGGTGCCAATTCATGACCACCGAGTTTAGGGTGGAATGTTCAGGTAGAAGAATCGAATGTGTTTGCCTGGGATGCGTCCGTATACTGTCGCATGCACGTGAGATTGTGGTGTTTGGATTAGTTATGAACCAGATACATCGAGTTTGTGCTCGTTGAATGCTTTTTAGCTCTTTATTGGAGATATGTGTTACGGTGAGGGTTCACGTTGACGTTATTTGCTGAGAGTCGATAGCTTCGTGAGGGTGAGTAGTTGCGAGATGGGTGCGAGAGCAATAGAGAGAAAGGGCGCATGTAAGGTGAAGGTGAAGGTGAAAAAGCCTCAAGAGGGCAGGTACAGGGGAGTGAGGAGAAGGCCTTGGGGTAGGTACGCTGCGGAGATCAGAGACCCGCATACGAGGGAGAGGCGATGGCTAGGAACGTTTGATACCGCAGAGCAAGCTGCAGTTGCGTACGATTTGGCTGCCAGATCCATGCGGGGATTGAAAGCAAAGACTAATTTTGTTTACCCAACGCACCAGACATGTTTAATGTCAGCAGCGTTGGCTGCGTCCAGAGCCTCGGAGCAATCAGAAGGGGGAGGCTTCTTCGGAAGCGTGAGTGGTGGCAGAAAGGATCGGAATTTAGTCGGAAGCAGAGCTTTGGTGTCTGGTGGGCCAACTAACGGTGCTGCAGTCTCTAACCTCAACTTCATGCTTGGGCCCAGGGAGTCTTTGCTGAACCCCTACAGTGAACTAGCTTACAGGCACATGTATGAATCCGTAGAGAGACTTGCAAGCGCCATCAGTGATCCTCGACCAAGGCGATCGCCACATGAAAATGGCAGCCTGTCAGAAAGCTGTGCCAGCGGGAAGACGATTGACGTCCGGAAAGGCTTTGGGGAAAAACAGCATTTGGCGGTGTACGATGTTCAAGAGTCTGTTTGCTGTCAAACGTCAGAGCGAGGTGCTGTTGAGAGCTCTGTGTTGCACACAGGCAGTGATTGTGTCACAGTTTCAGTACCATCTCCTGAGGTAATTATCTGATGTCTTACACTGGTCGGATTGTTCTGGAAACCCTACCCTGATGCGAGAATCACTTTTATTTCTTTCTTTCTTCCTTTCTTTCTTGCTCTCTGTTTTCCTGTTTTTCTCTTCTTCAGGTCCAGAAAAACAAACCTCTGAAATTAATCAGAACTCAGGGCGCGGTTTGTGTTTGGCGTTGAATGCTACTTGTCTCTGATACCTGGTCCTGAACGGTTTCTGCTGTTTGTATGTGTGCAGGCCATTTGCATCGGTGACGAACCTAGTTCATGTCATGTGGTGAAGGTACCCAACGAGTCGACCTTTACCGAGAGTGTTGGCCCACTTCGAAGCGGTGACAATGAGCACTTCACTTCCCGCACCTCTGGCCCGTCGAGGTTTCATGAAGATGGTGTGGGTAGTCTTGCACAAGTAGTCTCGAAGTTTGTGTGCATTGAGCAAGGACATGTCACTGGTAGTTCTAGTTCGCACACCATCAGCCTCATTGATTCCAGCCAGTGTTTCGTATCAACCCAAGCCTCTAACTCTGAAGACTTATCGACCTCATCCGTGTCTCCCTCTATTGACACAGCCACTTCGCCAAATTCCGTACGGTTCCTTTCCGTTTCAGTCGGGTCTTCAGATCCACCATCTGCAGCGGAGATGATATATTGCAGCACTCCGATCTTCAATCAAAACCCTGATGATTTGCAGAATATTTTGATTCCCTGTGCCAGTTCGTCGCTGCTCAACAAGCTGCATCAGTCAGGCGGGCCGCGCAGTAACGTTTCATCCCAATCTATCATGACCCGGCACGACACATGGAATGGGATTTGTTGTGAAACTTCGGAAAGCTGGAGCAGTTTGTGCGAGCTCCCGGCTGCTTGGCAATACTACACCGATCCCGGAATGGTGGCGAATGATATGGAGTATGAGTTAATTGACGTTACGCGTGAGCTTGCCATGCGGAAGTCCGTTGCCTGCCAAAGTTGTCAGGATGATGGGTGTGAAGAGTGCTTTATGAACGGGGATTGGCAGTTCCTTCACTGTGACGCTGCAGATTCGCTAATCTCTTGTGTATCGAATATCGGAGGTGATGAGTATTTATGTAACGATATTTATTCCAACCACGGAATTCATGCTGATTCTTTGAGCCAAGCATTGTGCAATGAGCATCAGTCCTTCGCAGTTCTGGCGGAGGAGCCTTTGATCCTTCACATTCCAGACATCTAATCATCCAGCTGTTTGTTAATAGTGAGTAGGGTTCTCTCCAAGCCAGACCTCTATCCTCTATATCTGTGTAGATTTGTGTAAACTCTTCACGGATTTTCCAGTGTACACATGAGTTTCAGGAAGAGTGACAAGAGGAGTGATCTTGTCAATGTACATATTGTAAAGAAGTACTACTTACACACGTATTATTGATTCAAAAAATTTCAAAGATGTCCTGGATAGCTGGCCTCTTTGTATACTGTTTTCCAAAATGTGGTTTCGATGATGTAATAATCTTTTAGCTAGAGCAGTTCTACCAGTGTAAAGTGCCCTTCTGCTTGCTCGTTATCAATAGCAATTCATTTCTTGGGCTTTGATTGCGAAATTGTGAGGGTTACGTTTCACGTAACCTTTGAGACAGCTGTTTTTTTATCACTTTCTTCCTGATGCAGTTGTCTTCGAGGAACCACATGCACAACATACTTAATAGATCGTGAAACTGGTGAAGGTCTCTGAATCGTCTACGATGGGTACAATGTGTCCCCCTCTTCTATGAAAGAACCAGTATGTTTACATGTCTTGCGGATTTCAAAGATCTAGAAGATTTGGCATCACTGATCCAGCCGCAAATACTGCGCAGCTAGTAAGTCAGTACATTCCTACTTTCGTTGAAGCGCTTCTGTGCATGTGGCAAAAGCTCTTCCGGGTTCGTGTAGCAGATACAAGTTAAGAGAGTGACGAGAGTTATTGTTGTGATCTAGGAAGCTTACATTCGTAGTGTACGAAGCTAAATAGGGAACTAAAAGTATCTCTGATCAAACCGTTGAGTTACGCTCTGGAGTTTTAATCACATTAGACTTTTGTGCTTCCTCTTAATTGGACCTGCCGCTGTCGATGTGCCCTTCCTGAACAACTTGCGGGTGGTTCTTCCAATTACCATCCCATCGTGGTTTCAATTCACTCGAAAGTCCGAACTCTCGTCGTCTGCGACCTTTCCATTAACAGAACACTGAACTCAGTCACAAAATCTCACTGAGACGACTGATGTTAGACATGTTCAGACCCGTTTGCACACACCAAGTATCCTGCAACCACTGGCTCTCACCACTATGATCATACCCCCAGCAGCTCGACCCCAAAATCCTATATCCCCTATCCACCCCAGCACCCAGAGTCCCTCCGAACTCGCCATCGCATGGTCTACCTTTCCTTGTGTTTGCAACTTGGCACCTGCCGCCATTCTTAAATATTTAGCCCCCTTGCGGTCCGTCAACCCTACAAGTGTTGCGTGAATGGACCAGTCTGATCCAGCCAGGGCCAGGGCGGGGGTGGAGGTGGGGCCCGATGCGAACCAGTTCAGGAACGACTTCAGGCAGACTGAAGCGGCATCCATGCACAGCCCAGCTCTGCTTTCGGGGGCACAGCTCAAAGGAGGGCTGGCTTTGAAGACATGGGTTCTTTACTCCCCCGTCATAAAGACGCAGATCAGCCTGGCCTTGATGCTCACTCACTCTCTGGGCAACGGATCCATCTTCACCGCATCATCGACCATGTGATCTGGACATTCTGAGTGAGATCCCTATACTGCAGCAACCTCTGTTGCACGGATTCCTGCATGCAATCACGAACATCGGTACTCCTTGCAACCGCCATCGCTGCTGACACCGACTGCTGCTCTGGGTTTTCTTCTAGGCGAGCTTCTATCTCAGAACACTCTCATAATTAGTCTTTGTTTGTTTTGTTTTTGTTTGCTAATAATGTTGTGCATTGCGTATGCTAGTTTGAGTGAAGATGTTTACATGTTGAAAACTAATAGTATTTTCAGGTGTTAGTGGATTAACTCATTCGGCTTGTAGTGTGTGTTTTGATTGGAATCGTTTTTACGTTTAAATCAAAAAGTTTTGGCTTGTGTGTGTAGATTGATATATTTGACTTGTTCTTTACAAGGCTTTGAACATCCTTCTGCATCCAATGTGATGCATTCAGGTGATATATATTTATATATATATATATACACACAACTTTATATTACCTAGTTTGAAAGTCACCACTAAAGTTAATGCTTTTTTTTGTCAATTAAAACCAGAATACAATCTCTTGTGCAAGGATTTGTAGTGAAAATATTGAAACGAACTGGTTATTAATTATTAAATTATTTTTTGTATAATTTTTTTTATTAATGACGATCAATTGCAATATTTTTATATTCAAATAATTAAAAATCTATACAAGATAGAGCTTCTTCTTAGAACTCTAATTAAAAATTATTAATTATTGCAAAGAGTGTTAGAATTACAAAATAAGAATACATAATTTAAGATTTCAAATATTTCATTGTAATAAAATAATAGCAGTAAACGTTAAAATAATTAAAAATTGTTAAAAAATTACCAAATATTGTAAAAACTCTAATATCAAACATATATAGGTTGTTAAAATTAAATTAAATTAAAAAAAGCCTTATAAGAATTTCTTTTTATCTAACTAAATTTTTTAAAAATTATTTCATGTGTTCACTTTTATAAATACTTAAAATAAGATAAATACTAGATTTTTTTTAAAAAAATTTAAAAAACTGAAAGGGATAGTATTATAGATACAAAAAGCTAAATTACAGATTTAAGTAATAAACATAATAAATAAAAATAATTTGAGAACTTATTTATAACCTTTATTTATTGAAAATTTTAATTTTGCAAAAATTAAGATATTGGTGCAGACTTATAAATATAAACAGTTCATAAATAGTTAAAATATGAATAAGTTTCTAATATATATATATATATATATATATATATATATGGAACTTGCTATCAAAATTTACCATTGAATTTCTCTGGTATATTTTTTTAGTTATTAAATAATTAATTTTAGAATAGAAAGAGAATTTTATAATTTTAAAACCTTTTTCAATTAAACTCAAATTTTTCTTATAAAATTCTGAAAGATTCTCATAACATTCTTGGTTTTCCGTAGTATATGATAAAAAGAGTATATTAAAACACATGTTCTCACATGCAAAGTGAAATATAGATATTTCATACTTTAAATCAACATAAAATCCTCCCATGCAAACATGCCTAGTACAAGGTGTTAGATATAGAAACATTTATCATGTCATCAAAAGAATGCAATCTTTTTGCATGTCTTTTTAAAGAAGTTTTCAAACAGCTAAAAGTATGCTATTCGTTTGTATTTCATATTCAAAATATGAATGGCTTCATTGTTTATATATATATATATATATATTGAGATGAAATCAATGGATATTTAATATAAACTTCAAAAAATATTTTTGGGGACCTAGATATATGGACTTCAATGTTCCCCCTTCTTTGTCTCAAAACATATCTTCCATACATTCTCCAGGTGGGTCCATACCTCTCTACTTCCAATGCAGCTAATGTAAAATTATGTTGGTTTTTGAAGGAGGTGCCAACATCCACACAATTTGCATGCATGAGGAACAAACCTCAGGCATCACAATTATGATCACTTTGTGGTGGCAATTTTTAAGTGTACTTCTTTTTTTTCTTTTTCAAAAAATAATAAAATAATAGAAAAATTGAAAGAAATAGATGATGGCTCTTATGTTCAACTTGTTTAGTAAATTTTAACCATGGTAGATCCTTGTCTGGATTTGTACAAGAGATCATTGAAAGTAAAGTGGTTTAAATACTCAAAATAAAATAAAACAAAAAAACACTCTTAGTTTTAAATAAGCATTATGTGTTTTTGTCTTCCTTGGATGATGTGCAAGGGCCTTCAAAAGGTACATTTAGATTTAATATGCTGCTTTTTTAACTTGCTCCACAGGTACAATATGAAGCCTTGTCAGACTTCTTCACCCTTGGGCTTTTAGAGTATCTGAAACAAGTAAAAAGAGATCTAAAACAATGGAAGCTCATGATACATGCTAGTCACTGTTGAGGTTGTTCATACAGGGATAGTGATGCAGAGAAAATAAAATAAAAATAACTAACTAGCAGACAGTCAAACCAAATCTAAACAAAACTAAACATCTCTTTAAAAAATACAGAAATCTAGTTTTGAAAGTATTGAAGGAATTCAAAGCTATGGTAACAGAAGAGCAGAGGATCATAAATTCCAAGGACAGCAACTTGGTAATAAACCACCACCATATTTCTGGGTTCAACACTTGCTTCAAACTGAGAAGTCTGGAGCCTAGGAGCCTGACCTTTGATGTTACTTGCCTGACCTCAAAGCATCATGCTGAAGTCACAGGTAGAGAGAGAGAGAGAGAGAGAGAGAGAGAGATGAGAAGAGACGGCATTGCAGAGTTTTATTTGAATCTGAAGCACCAGTACAGTTTAAAAAAATCTTGTGTTGGAGCCATAATCATTTTGTCAAACACGTTGAAGTGACCTTCTACACAAGGCAACTAAATTTTACTGTACCCTTTCCAATTATGCACATATTCACATTTATATATATATATATATATAATTGTGTAGGCCTGATGTTTGGGTGTGAGGATGGAGCGTCAGTGATTCTGAAATTTTTCATTCCTTGGAATTTATTTATAAGTGGTTGGAAGTCACGGGGATTCACTTCAGACAGCCTTGACTGGCAAGCGGTGGGATCAAGTACTAAGCCCCATCCTGTACCGATCTTCCAACCTGGAATCAATTACAGGCTTCATAAGAATCTTGGACACAGCTGGTCGTCTCTCAGGAATCGTGATTAGAGTCGGGACTGTCACCGTGAAGTTAATGCTTTATTAGGAAGGGCATTCAAGACCGGGAATTGCCTCGGGTGCTGTGAAGTGGGGGAAGAGAGATTCTTCTGGGTGGACACTAGTCTCAACCGAATTGTCTTTCTCCGCTGTGTATGCCACCTGCCTGGACTAGAATGGTGACATGGGGGAAGCAGGGGTTTGATTTGAGCGCGCGTGATATATTTTGGGGTGGATAAGAAGCTTGGTGACGACGGAGTTGGTGGCAAAACTTGTGGGGGGGGGGGGGGGGGGAGTGTGCGGCAACTGAATGCTTTCTCTTTGGAAAGCGGGTTGAACTTTCCATAAGCAAATTTTGGAGGAAAATGAAGAAAAACACTCCTCAATTGAAGAGATATTACAACGTACTATTTCCCACACACATGAGAATTTAGAGGATGTTCAAAGATCAGTTCAAGCATTGGTGTAAATGGAACTTTTGAAGACGTGACCTTGATGCAGGTTGTACATGCGCTAGACTTTCTTTTCCTATTACTGGAATTCTACAAATAATATCTCCGTGATACATGTTGTACACACGCTAAATGCTAATGATGCTGAATTGGAGAAAACCATGATGGTTAAGAAAATGAACCGTATTTAACGGGGTTCTCAGTGAGAAAACTTGCCCTGTGAACCTATTCCTAACTCAATGTCATTGTCTTGAGGTTTACGTCCAAGGTATTTTTCACCAGACTTCGCATTCTGTGATGAGTCCAAAGCCTTTTTGTGCCTGTTGTGAGAAGGCCGTGAAAACTCCAGCTGAAGTAGCAATGAATTAGTCATTACACCCAAAGAGCTTATACCCATGAGAGCACCTGCAATTGATGGAGTAAGCATGATGTTCGTTGAAGGTAGCAGAGCACCAGCAGCGAGAGGGAGTCCCACCTGGACAAAAAGAACACAAAAACTGAAGTTAATTGAACCGCGCACCATTCAAGATATTGTCCAATGCCTATTGTGAGAACCGTAGAAAATCATTAAAGAAAGAATCTGGAAGAATTACAGCTTACCCCCGAATAACACGCACACGAACGAGAGAACATATGGGTAGCAGAATATGATCATTTAAGGATCGAGAAGAGCGTCTAGATTTGCGACCAGATATAAACACAATCATAAGTTGAGATGAAACCACAGATGAATCCACTTACAATATTATACATGAATGCCCACCAAAGATTCTGTTTTATCTTCTTGAGCGTTAAACGACTCAACTCAAGAGCATCAACAACCTGCACAATCACAAGTTGCAGAACGTCAATAACTTTATATGGTGCTAATTAGTGGAGAGGCTGAAGTTTATAACTGAAGTCATCGGGTTATTAAATCAAGACCCAGTTCACAAACCTGGCTCAGCTTGTCCCCCATAAGAACTATTGATGCCACTTCGCTAGCAGCTCCAACTCCGCCTGCCATGGCAATGCCGACCTGGGCCTGAGCTAAAGCTGCAGCGTCATTGACGCCGTCTCCAACCATCGCCACGTGCCTGTTCTCCGACTGCAGCTGCCTGATGAAATCTGCTTTTCCAGATGGCTTGACTCCAGCATACACCTAGACATTGTATCCAAAAGGTTTAGACACGATTAAATAAATAAATCGAGGACATTACCCACAAAAATGAGCAGTTTTCAAAGTAATAATTCTGCAAAAAGTAGGCAAGAGAAGTTCTTGACATAAAAATAGCATCATTATGTAACTTGAACCATGACATCAATGCTGTAGAGTACCTGTTGTCGATCGATGCCCACTTTTGCAGCAATAGCTTCTGCGGCCTCTTGTTTATCTCCTGAAAGCATGGAGGTTTTCATGCCCATTCGATGAAGCGCCGCAACGGAAGCTTTAGCATCATCCCTCAGCTCATCTATCATTGTGACAGCTCCCACAAGCTTATCATCCACACCTGTCAGAAACAACGCAATTGGAACCGGTGAATAAATATGTAAGCAGGATAACGTACATGGTTAGCAAGTAAAAATTCAAGGGTCACCATAACTTACCGTCAAATCCATGACATCTCTCAAACGTTTTCGAAATGTAACGCAGTCACTTGTTGATCTCATGAGACGAAACTAAGAACCAAACTGCCTAACAGATCAATAGAGCTTAAATAGGATGTTAACAGGGGACTTTGTGAGGAGCTAAACTCACCGACGTACACAATAGTCTGCCCTTGCGTTGTAGCATCTGGGGCTTCAGGAGCCACTCCTTCAACTCCAGCCCTAAATGTACGCAAAGCCAATCAAAGGTTCAATATCTTCACATACTTCAATGATTTGAATAAAGATTTAAAAAAAATAAAAATAAAAACAAAATTAAATTAAAATGAGGAAAGATGATGACACCAATCGATATATGCACATTTTGAACACTTTAATCAATCAGAACAGAAATGCACAAGTGATGCACCTGCGAAGCCATTCTAACGTGCCCACAGTTACAAGCTTCCCTTCAACAATAGCTTTGGCTCCACTCCCTGGTTCCTGTTCAAACGTAGACTCCTGGACCTGTAATCGTGTAAAAACAGCCACTTTTACCAGGTATGTCGAGTGAATCATATCTGTCATGATATCGCACCAACCAAAAATGGACATAATCTCAAAGATGTGACTGCACAAACCACTGCTTGGCGGCAACCAGCGCTTGTTGCTGCCTGGACCAGCGCCTTAGCAATAGGGTGAGATGCGGTTCGCTCAACACCAGCAGCTAATGTCAGCAAATCTTTTTCCGTCCACGTTGAAGATGGTTGACCATCTATGTTGCTACAGATCACGGACTTGACGACGGGTCTACCAACTGTAAGAGTTCCGGTCTTGTCAAACACAATAGTATCAACAGATGATACATTCTCCAGAATGTCTCCCCCCCTTATGAGAAGACCCCTCCTCGCCCCAAGGGATGTACCAACCTGATGCAAAAATTTCGTCTCAATCAACAATTGCAACCAGCTGGCGATTTGTAAGCGATATAGGTCTCAAGTGATTTCTCACATTTAGACCTATTCAAAGATCCTCTACGCTAATGCAGGGACTATGGTCTTGGCAAGATAATCCAAAGACTAAGATCCAGGTATAATTTAATACAAACAACCTTGCTAGAGCTTCAACACTTCAGCATCAACAGACTCTACACATCCATATTCCTACTAGTTGCATACCAGAACAGCTGTAGGAGTCGCAAGTCCAAGAGCACAAGGGCAAGCAATGACCTGCACATCAACAATACAAAATATAATTACATTAGAGATCTCGTCAATTAAAGTGATCCAAACGTAGGATATAAAAATAAATCACATGCTACATCAGCCTGAACAGTTTCTTGCAACAAGATACCAGGGTTACTACAGCAAACCAAATTAGGTTCAGGGTCAGAAAAACTCGAACTTTTACAGCAAATCATTCACAGGAAAGTCCCGATGAACTACAGCATCTACTGGAGAATATTTTCATTCTACACGATCTTAAGTCCATGGTACACAGTGAAACGCGTGAAAAGTAGACATGTGAAAAGAGATATTTGCAATCAAGTGATATTGCCGTAGTCACCAAGAATTGATTTGCAACTTCCATTACCAAAACATTACAGGCCAACTGAAGCCCAAGAAGTAGGGGTCCTCCGGTTGGAACAACTGCTGGAAATAACGCAGGTCCAAAGGTAGTCCAAAAGGCGAATGTAGCGCCAGATAATGCCATCACTCCATAACAGAATCGACCCGCAACCTGTGGGACAAACATTTTTGCCAATACACTGAACTTTAATCACCTCGCGACGCAACAATGAGAGAAAAATGTGTATTACATACTGGGAGAAGAAACTTGGCACAGTAAGTCTTGTCAAACTTCTTTAACAGAAAACATTAGAGCAGTAGAACTACCATACTGGAATCTACAATCAGATGGACAGCCGAACTCTTGCCGGAAAAACTAAGAACCGCATCATTGCATGGCGAAGAGAACAATGTGAAAGGTAGGGCAATGAAACTTGAGAGGGATAAAACTCCGAAAAAACCGTCTTCACAGTACATTCGAAAATGTACCAAGTATGTTTTACTCACTTCACATTACCATCAAAAACATAATACTTCACCAACTGTACTTCTATGAAACATGACCAATCATTCGACTGAGCCACAATGAGGACCAGTGATACCTTGTCAGCAAGTCGTTGCACAGGAGCTTCTCTTGTCTGAGCATCCTCTACCATACGGATAATATCACTCATCACAGTATCGCCACCTGCTCTCATTGCTTCAACTGTCATAGTACCATTGTAGTTAACGGTTCCAGCTGTGACTTCATCCTGCCGCATAAAAAGACACAAATTAGCACTTCTTGAGCACAATTCTACTAAAATTTGATCTCAAACTGAAAAGAATCCCAACCCAATGCCACATACTGCCAACTATGGAAAGAATATATGATGCAGATTTACTCTCAGAAAGGAGAGTATCAATTACACTCTTCAAAGCAAGCAGCAGGCATAGATCTCAAAAGAAGTACACTCCTTGAGAAAGAGGCTTCACGATTGATACCCCAGATTGTTTCAGGACAGCCAAGGGCTCTCCCGTAAGGCTGGACTCATCCACAGTGCTCTTTCCGGACTTGACTACACCGTCCACAGGGATTCGATCCTGTCAAGAAAGAAATATTAACACGAAATTAAGGATTACAATTCTAATCAAGATAACGACCTTGAGAGAATCACGACTTCGGATTGAACAATCCAATGGAATGAAACCCACACAATAGACATCCACACTGCAAGATACAAATCTGAATAGAAGAGCATACCCCAGGCAACACAACAACTGAGTCTCCAACAGATAAGCTATCGCAGGGAACAGTCACAGTAGTTGGATGGCCACTGTTGTCAAATCCCATGACAAGGCGAGCTTTAGAGGGCAGGAAATTCAAAAGGGCAGTCATATCACTGCTGGCCTGAAGCTTTGCTCTCTCCTCCACTGCTCTTCCCAGAAGCACAAATGCTAAGAGCATCACGGGCTCCTCAAAAAATGCTTGCCACCCCTGATTCAAATTGAACAATAGTCCGATTGGTAAGGGATAAGAGAGAATTCATGCAAGAAACTGATCATAACTAAAATTCGGGTTTCCAAATGTAGCGAATCGAAGGAATACACGCTCCCGCTCACCACAACAAATTATAGAAATAATTTTTTTTTATTGTAAAACAAAAAACTTGAGTTATAGTAAAAGAATTATACCAATCTCGGGAAGAGAGCCGCAGCAGTGCTAACAGCAAATGATGATATTGCTCCCAGTCCAACAAGAGTGTTCATGTTAGGCGAACCTCTAACAAGACTCTTCCATCCATCCACTAATAGCTTACGCCCAGGTCCAACCAGAGCAGCCAATGACAAGGCTGCATGAAACCCAGTGGAGTGTAGCATATGAAGCCAGGATGGACCCAAATGACCAATTAAATGATGACTGTGGCCCACCAAGCACACTGCCGCAAGCGTCCATGCAACTGCTAGCCTTCGCCCTGTACACATAGTCACACAACAATACAATCAGAAGTAAACCACCTAAACCGTTGACCACAATGTAGACAATCTCTGCTGAGGTCAAATATAAAGCAGAGATTTTGACCTCCAAGAGTGCACTTATTTAAACGTCACGATGGAAGATACTCACTAGATGGGACATAAACAAAGGAAATATATACTTCCCTGTACAACAGAAAGCTCGTCAACCCAGTAGTTAAGTTTAACGCAAGAACAAAGAAACAAGGTATATTTGCAGATTAGGATTTGCTAAAATACCGCTATCTTTTAGTCGAGCTAGTCTTTCTTCACGTTTGCGAAGTGCCGCTGGCGCTACCTTACCACCCTCTTTTCCGTCCTGCTCTGAAAAAGAAGAATTATCAAGAATGAGATAGGATCTGACAAGAATAAGTAATCTAAATACAAGAGTATTTTCGAAGTATAGAAGGTCGGACATATCGATGCTAACCAAAGTAACATTTCGTATAGATGCTTCTAATGTGTTCAAAGAGACCTTAGACCGAAAACTGAAAAAAGAAATAGCATGCCTTTATATAATGACTTCCAAAAACACCGAAATACCTCGAACGGTGGACTTGAAACCGCGATTGGTTAAGTGCTTAGCCAAAGCTTCAGCAAGTTGACGCTTGACCTTCTCCCACCCACTTGATATCACAGATTCTGACGTTACTCTTACTAGTGCAGTCTCCGTTGCTAAATTAACAGTCGCCCCTGTTACTTGTGGCTAGCAGAGACAGAACCAACAGATTATCTCCTTGCCAGTTTAACTGACTACAGAAGATAGTTCTCAAAGCACACGCACGAACCCAACAACCAAGAAACGGAGATTGATAAAGTACTTATTCATAACGTATGAGCCAGAACGAGGATGAGAGGCTATACCTGTGATTCCAATATCCTCTTCACGGATGAAGCACAACCACCACAAGACATCCCCTGCGTATACACGAGGCTACAACATCATCAATAACCATGGATCAAGATAGAACATTCTGTCCACGAAAAATTTACAAGTGGATCCGATGCACAAAGAAAGGCAATTCAAGGAAGTGAGGTCAATTACCCCCACGTCCAGAACGATGACATCTTCCGTAAGGGGAGATGTTGTTTCAGAGGCAAACGTAGACTCTCCTGCGGATGGCATACCCAAATCATCACCACCTCCACCCGCTCCCCCTCCACCCCATCCTCCAACTCCACCAAATCCTCCACCTCCACTGCCAGTACTGAGAGCTCTAGAAATGCTTGCAGCTCCAAAACCATTTTGGCAGTAACAAGGTCTAATGCTTCTTGCTGCAAGCAGAACCAACTAAGCATGGCATACTCTATCAGCAAGAAGAGCATCCTCAAAAAAATCATTCAAATTAGAACACCTAATTGAAATGAATGCCCATAGCTAGGGTTGGGGTTCTTTGTTCCTCGATTGGAAGTAATTCAGAATACTTGCTGTCAAGCACCATCTGAAGATCTCGAAAACAAATTCCTATAATCTAACTGACGCAAGAACAATATTACGCTACAGAAGCAGCTAATAAATATCATCAACATCGTGACATCCGTTTCAAACAACACTCTGCATTGGTAAAAGAAGGGCACACTTGCAGAGATTATCTTCAGTATTCCAATTCGAATACTTTCAAACTTCGTTCACAACAATCACCGTGCTCTACAATATGTCTACATGCTTAACTTACCCGCTTCATCATAATGCAATTCAAGCAAAATTCAATTGAAGTACGTTTTAGGCTTCCTAAGTAGAAAATGTGAAGAATTGTCGCAATACCTGTAGGTGCCAGGAACTTGAGCTCTGACCATCCAGCCAATTCGGAGACAACTTGTTCAAGACCGCAAGACCAGACCGCTGACGCTTTTGCAGAGGGACGGACGGGAAAGCATTAACAAAGTTGCCACTGGAAGGAATTGTTGGAGCACTTCGTTGAAGAGGCCAGCGCGCCGCTTTCAAAGCACCACGCCCCGCAAAGGCAGATCCTGAAAAGAGCAACGGAGGCAGCGCCAAAGACCGCGCCATACGAAGAGCAGCCATGGCCGAGCTCGGCCCTTTAGTGATTGCTGCTCTGCACTGGCATGGTCCCGCACATGCTTTCATCCCCAGCTCTAGAAATCTCCTGGGCGTTCACCCACACATCAAACTAAAGACGAATTCCAAAAACAACCCACAATGGCCAACACTCCAACCTAACAAGCTCCAAATTCACAATCTCTCTTCATACCGCAACACCCAAGTCGCAAAACGACTACACCTATCATAAGGAGGATCACCCACATGGCGAATTCATTTCTGGACGCAAAAAGTGGCATCCAGCTCGCTGTCAAAGCAGACAGAGCTGGTGTAATCGAAGATTGTCGTGCATCCTCATGAGCTCTACATACGCGCCAAGCTGCGAGAGCATGTACACTGCAACAACAGAAGCGGCAAATTCAAAACACAGTTTTACATTTCCATAGATTTCATCACACTACAGCGGCGACAAGCAGTGAACAGATTGCGGGTCCTGCAGATGATGCCTCATGTGCGTGATTTCTTATCAAAGGACTTCGACTAGGCGAGACATGAAACCACATAAAACCAGAGATAGATCCCACTTCTCCTGTGGAATTTTCACAACATTTGTATTGATTGAATCCGTCACTGGTTTTTATCATTGCAATACAAATGTTGTGAAAATTCCACATCCTGGAACTAAAATATAACATAGAAATTAATACAGAAAACGTATCATGATCAGAAACAGAAAAAGAAAAACTATGGCTTCGGAAGGGCTTGGATAAGATTTTAAATGCTGCGATATTATTATTTAAATGAATTAAAATAGCAAAAGGCAAAACTCGATAAAATAAAGGCATGTCACTGGGTCAAGACTAGAATTTGAAAGAACTAATATATGTTGATGTCATATTAATTGAACAGTAACCAATTGTTTTAGGATACAGAGATAGAGTTGGATTTCTTGCTGCTGTAGAGTTATTCTGTCCAGGCAGTCTAACCTCATACAACGGTTATTGAATTACGTGATGTGTAAAACAAAAACAAAAAATGTGTATTAATTCTGTCCTTGGACCTTTGATGCCAAACCAAGAGAATTTGGGGTTAGAAAATTCCTTTGAGAAATGGCAGATTATTTACATAGTGCTTAGTTTGACATGACAATTCTCTTTGTATTACATGACTTTCTAAATAGACATCTTCCAAGACGTTTATATACTTGGATCTTAGAGAGAGTGCTGCAACACAAGGCCAAATGATGGAAGAAATACAATTTTTCATTTTATTGTATGTAATATATATATATATATATATATATATATGTGTGTGTGTGTGTGTGTGTATATATATAATTTGGGTTTGAAAGTTGGGGTTAGAAGTTCAAGATTAAGGAATTAGAATTTAGAGGGCAAGTTGTTGCCTAAGCACTTAGTAGAGTTGTTGCCTACCATTTGTATCAATGAATGTTTGTAAACATATGTCTTGCAAAACCAAATCCATTTCTATCATAGGCATTGCCATTTTTTTAATGGTCCATGTTTTTTTTCAAAATTGTTTACTAGATCATATTTACCTTATTTATCATCTGCAATTGTTTCAACATGAGAGAATAATTTTTCAAACAAATATAATTGTCAAACAAATTGCCATTACTACTTAGAGCCTAATAGTAATACTAGAAACTTATATTGTATAAGTGGTAGAAGAGATTGTGTCTTTTTAAAATAGAGTAAAAAATTAAATCAATAACTAATAAATTTTAAAATAGTATCTCTCTCTCTCTCTCTCTCTATATATATATATATATATATACTTGGTATAAAATTTATATATTGTTTTAGTTTAATAGTATCTATCAATCTATCTATCTATCTACCTATATATTCTATAGAAATTTTTATACATTATATTAATATATATATATATATATATATATATATAGTTGTGAAAAAAAAATTGGAAGATAAAACTTTCTTTGCATAAAATTAATGAATATAAGTAGTTATGTATATATTTTTTTCTTATTAATGCTAACTATTTATGTTTGTATGTAATTTTTGGTATTTTTATTATTTCATAGAATATTTAGATAATAAGAAATAAATAAAATAAGTAATAACTAGTTAAATAAAAAATATATATTTTTTAATAAAAATTGGCTATACAAACTTGTAATATTTTTATATAATTAGAAAGCCACTATAAAAATGTTCTACTACATGAGCAATTGATTGACAAGCTTTGTGGTCTTTAAAAAACACTTTTGCATTACCTTCTAATAGCTAGTATATATAGAAGAAAGACTTAGGCCAATTGCTATATATATATATACATATATATAGATTTTAAAATAGCATTCAAAAATTTGAAATTCTAATTATTTTTAAAAATTATTTAGACCATAATCATGATTTCAAATACATATTTTAAAATATTGATACATTATCAGTGCAAGAAAATAATGTTTTTTGCATGAATTTTTAATTTTTTAAATGTTGTAAACTTAAAAACTATATATGTATATGATTACGTAAATAAATGAAATAAAATATTTTCCTTCATACGTTTTTAATATCTATGAATGAATTTTTTTAAGAAGGTTTGAAGTATATTATTTAAATACTGCTGTTTTTTCATTTTTTTTGGATATTTTAAAGGAAAATAATAATACAACCATAGACACAAATTTTTTTGGTGCCAAAAAATACCATATTTGCTGATAGGCCTTCTAAAACTTACCAACAATTATTTGACCACAATTCAATGCATTTTGTTTATTTATAAATCAACTCTCAAACAACTACTTGTTTTAAGAATTAATTTATGATCTTTGTAATAACGTTTGGTTTTCAATTTTTCTAGAGGATTTCCTAAATCGTGTATATATATATATATTCAAATATATTCTTAAATATTTTTTGTGGCATTCTAATGTTATAAAAAGAAAATCATACTTACAATTTGATTTTATTCATATAAACATGCTAAAATATACATTATAACAAATATAATTAAATTATTTAATTTTAATTTTTAGTTGTTATTTTGATTAGATGCCACATTAAATAATCTAAGCCAAAGGTAAAGCAAATATATAGTAGGATCTCAGCCATGGTTTATAGATGAATATTGTAAATTAAATCGTCATTTATACAGGATAGAATCGTAGTAGAATCTTTACTTACATTAATTTAAAAATAAAAAAATGATTTGTGAGCACTTGTCATTGAAACTCTTCTGTAGTATTAGGGAAATTACAAACTATGGAAGGGTTTTGGATTCACATCTAGGTGGTGATGTCACCTTTATTCTACACATTAATTTATCAAACCGTACCGTATTCTTTTAAGACATTGTATATATCTCTTTAGGTTACTTATATCTAAATCCCCTTAGACCACAGACTCATATAGACATGCTAAAATATTTGAGGGACTTGTCAAACTACTAATTTGCATGAACCCTAATTTTACATATTCATCCTCCCCAATATATCTATTCGGATTAATCGTCGGTGACCAAAATGAAGAGAAATCCGACCTGCGATATTTAGCTAAAGATAGCGGAGCTGGAGGTCTACCCCATTGGCCCTCCCGATTCAGTTCAGCAGCAATCGCAGAAGCAGAAGAGTGACCTGATTTTCGGGATAAGATCTCGTCTCCACCTTACTCGCTCGTCGCTGCGCCATCTCTCGACCACTGGCCCCCTCTCAATCCCATAGCAGCACATCGCAACTAACTTACAATAACACTAGATTTTAGCTCCGCTTCGATTCCTGCGTTCTCAATTTGCAACTGGTTTTCTCGCAGTCAGTCGTCTTGCGTCGCTGCTTCAATTCCTGCAGCCATGGCGTCCGTCACCATGGCAGCTATTGCACCCGCTGGCCTTGTTGCGCCCCTCTGCAAGGACGTCAGCTCCCGGACAGCAATCTCCGGCGCTCGCGCTTCAGTGTTCGTGAAGAGCTCCAAGGCTAGGATTGTCTGCTCTACATCCGCCGACGAGACCTCCACTGTTGCCGAGACCGCAGGGAAGTTCGCCACTGCGTTGGCATTGGCTGCTGTTGTGGGTTCCAGTGACTTTGTGGTGCCCGATGCGAGAGCTGATGTTGCTGGTTTGACGCCTTGCAAGGAGAGCAAGGGGTTTGCCAAGCGACAGAAGCAGGAGATTAAGAAATTGGAGGGCAGGTTGAAGCTCTACGCGCCTGACAGCGCACCTGCGTTGGCTATCAATGCGACTATTGAGAAGACCAAGAGGAGGTTTGAGTTTTACGGAAACCAGGGGTTGTTGTGCGGTACTGATGGTCTGCCGCATTTGATCGTGGACGGCGACCAGGCGCATTTGGGCGAGTTCGTGTACCCCGGACTAGTTTTCCTCTACATTGCTGGCTGGATTGGATGGGTGGGAAGGGCTTACCTTATCGATGTGAGAACTTCGAAGAAGCCCACCGAGAAGGAGATTATTATTGATGTGCCACTTGCGCTCAGGATTATGTCTAAGGGTCTCACATGGCCTGTGGCTGCCATTGGGGAGCTCAGAAGCGGAAAGTTAGTCGAGAAGAGTTCCAACATCACCGTTTCCCCACGATAAACTAGTGTACGATTTCTTTGTACTATGCTTAATGTGTAATAAACCCTGCATTAAGTCATTCTGATTTTTCTTTTTCGTTTGTGGGTGCGTTCGATTCATCGTCAAAGTCCCTGCATCGCGATGTGCATATGGATAGCGAGACGCTCTTGCAGTTACCATTGAACGTACTCAGTGAACTATTCTTTCAGCGAACTGGGCGCCGTGTCGCTCATTGTTGGCTGCAAGTGCACATAGATTCCGTGGTAATGCAGCACACATCTCGCGGATACCAATCAGGTTGCTGGAAATGGGATAATCCTTTTGGTTTCTACTGTATACTACTTACAGATGTGGAGTCTGAGTGCGGAACTGTTGAATTAGAATGTGTAGTCAAGAAGTGTGATTCTTTAGGATGTGTACAAAACAGCTTCAACCAAATAAACCAGGTGTTGAGTTGGTTTTTTCTACCGAAAGAGTATTTTTTTTGTTTATTTTCTCTCAAATTATGTTTTGAAGCTTTGGATAAATAGGATTCTGGAATTAACTAAAAGAAATTAAAAAGAAATGTGAAAAAACACTCAAAACCAATTAAATTCTCAATTTTGAATCAGAATTGTTTTTGAAGTCTTCATCATTCTCATTATCAAAGTCAAAATTACCTTCTTAACTTGGAAGGTTTAAATCTTTAATAAGATCTTTTATATTGATATCTCTTTGTTGCTGTTTGAGTACCTTCACTTGCTTTCCACCAATTGGTATTTTCAACGTTCCATCTAACACTTCTAGTGAATAAGTTGCACTACTACATATAATCCAAATTATTGTTTAAAAGAGTATCTTAATGTAATAAATTGATTGTCTAAGCTACTATCATAAATCAAAATCTAATTGCTGTTTTCAATTACCTTAGGTTTTAATCAATGTTGATAATCAATTCAAATATATATATATATATATATATTTGTACTTTTTAATTTTTATAATATTGCTCTCTTCAACCTTTTTAATGCTATTTGCACATCTTCTAGTATTATATTATATAGAGTTTTGCTTGAAAATGCACCCAACAATTGATTATAGAAGGCAAATTGGAAATTTCAATAATAAGATCCTAACAATTCTAATACAATCTTATATAAATTTCAATTAAACATTAATAATTCTAATCAAATCTTAATCAAATCTAAAAGAAACCAGGAAAAAACTATAAAATAAATATAAAGAAATTACAAATAAACTTTAAAGAAATATTAAAAAAATAATCCTAAAGAAATTATATATATTTTAAAATACTAAAAATAGAAATTTAATCCAAATCCTAATGTAGCCATAAACAAATCTTAAAAAAATTCTAAGTAAATCCTAATGAAATTTTTAACAAATCCCAAGTAAACATTAACTAAATCCTAAACAAATCCTTATAAAATCCTAAATCTTAAATCAAATTCTACAATAGATTAAACCTCAAAATTTAATAATATAAATAATAGATTTTAATTCAAAATTTGTAAAATTTTTAATTATTTATTTGAAAAAAAATACAAATAATTTGAAGAAGATCAAACATACTAAATAGAAGATAAACTTCATAATTTGCTCAAATATCAAATAGACTTATTCTCCAATCTTAATGCCAATCTCTTAATGCCAATAGCTCTTAATTTCATTGTCCAATTGTATTTGATCTTTGCAAAGTTTTAGAATTCAAGTCTATTACTAGTATATATTTTTTTCTCAATTCAACTAGTGGATTACTATAAATCTTAGAAACCCTTATTAGTTCTTTAAACTCTAATTTTTAAGACCTCAATACTTTTAAATTTTGATAATCTTTTAATAAATTGTTTGATCAAGCTCAAAATTACAACACACATTCAATACAATTATGATCACATAATCACAAATTTTCATCTATAGATCATATACCATTCTCATAAAACTTTTTATAATATAAATTTTTTATATATCTTAAAATTTCAAAGACATCCTAAAACAACCTTGACTTTGCAAAATCTTAGTAAAGTTAATAAAAATTAGAATCACTTCAAATCAACATCTAAAGAACCTTGCTTTAGTTTTTTCTAAAATCTTATTTTTTGATCTATTAAAGAACCTTGGATTTACCATAGGAATGTAATTTTGGGTCTCAAAGTCTAATTTTGATCTTGATTTCTAATAAATCCTCTATTCATATCAATTCTTAATTTTATAAGATAATTTTTTGCTACAAACTATTTTTAATTCTCTTCTAAAGATGTCTATATTATTTTTTTTCTCATATACTTTGTTTTGCCTTATATATGGTTGTACAAAGTAAGTAGAAGTCTTTTTTTTATAATAGATAGTATTGATATTAAATGTTTTTATTACCTTCTTATCTTTTATCCATGTTTTGCTATTATACTTTTCAATTAGGCTCTTCTATATTAGAACCTATATTTTTTTCTTCCACCATATAGTCATGTTATAATAAAACATCTATATTAAGGAAATGAACTAAAAGATGATGCATTTACCAATAAAATCCGTGTCAAAGAAAGTCTACCAAAATAGAAATAAGGAAGTATGTATATTAAAAAAAAATTGAAAGGCTTATTGCCAAAAGAAAAGAAAACTCAAGACTCTTGAAACTACACTAGAAGCAAGAAAGGAATTGATAAGAGTGAAGAGGGCTTCACTCTTGTCTCTATATATACTATCTAACTAAGAGCTACGTGGCAATGTTCTATAGGACCTCCAATATGTGTTGACTTTGTAAGACACTTGCCTTCACTTTCAAGGCAAGTTTTTCTATGTGTGGGCCACATAGTTAGCTTGGTCTTCAAGCTAACAACATATATAGCACATGGCCAATTTTTTGACCACTTTTCTAACCCAAAAAGTCAATTATAGATACCTATAAAGTCAACAATATCTATGAAGCTTCTATAAAAAATATTATAGAATTAACTTACTTTTACATACTTCTAATTTTTTCTACCTATTTATACAAGTAATTAGTAGCTTACATGTATTTGTCCATGACATTATCCTCCCTTATAAGGATAAGTTCTACGAGGAGTGGTCATCATATCTTGAGAAAATCTATGATGCGATGAATTGTATTCGTCACATACTCAGATCTTTGTTCTCTTCGACGATGATTGATAGGGCCTCTCAACCATCGATAGTGCCCCATACTAGGACAAGAAGACCACTTTGCTATTTGATTATTTTTGAGGCCTTCATAACTTCCTTCAAATAAAATATTTGGAACACCGTCAGGTGTTGTTCCTACTTCTAATAAAATTATCAAACATTGAGAGTTTCTTCCAAGGTCATGATACCAAACACATTGTATCTTGCCATCTATTTGAAGAAAATATGTCATTCTTGAGGATCTTCATCTCGATTGCATCGTCTTGAAGGTTGTCACAATCGTAATGTCTCATTCAATAGGTCAACAAACAAAGGCTTTTTAGTCAATTTTGCTAGTTGTTGCTTTTCCATCTCTTTAGCATCACAACTATAAAGAAGCTACAAACAAGGATTGAAAGTAAAATGTTATCTTCCCTAGATATTGTTTCTTTTATATAAAAGGTTTTTATCTTAATTTTGATGGATGTTGTTGATGAAAAGCCTCCATCGCCTTTGTTGCATTTGCAAGATTCTTTACTAGCTCCCATGTGCATTCTCTAATATCATATCCGTGCCAATGGACAAGATATTCCAATTTATTTTGGTGTTGTCTTGAATCTAAAACTTCTTCTACTTTGAACTCTTCATTATTGTCTACTTCTATAGGAGGGGCTAGAGCTTGTCTTCTTCTTGGTATGTCCACTATCTTATATAGTTCAAGAAGAGACACGTGGAATATTGGATGGATTTTTATTGAATCCGGTAGGTATAAATAATATACAACTGGATTGATTTGTGCAAAAATAGGAAATGATCCAAGCCTACGATAGTCCAACTTGTCACAAGGACAAGTAGTCTTGATATTGTGACAAAGTAACCATATCTTATTATCCATGTAGAATGATGGTTGTTTCTTTTGCTAGACATCCGCATTGATTTTTTATTGTTCTTGATCTTTAAGTGCACCTTTATTGTTTTTAAGTGCACCTTTATTGGTGCATGTAGCTCTAATAAATGAATTGTTAAATCTTTCGCTGTAGGATTATTACCTTTTGAAAAGTAAAAAGTATTAAATGATAGATGATAATCATAAATGGCAAAGAAAGGTGTTTGTTTTGTAGAAGAATGTACCATATTATTATAAGCAAACTTTGCTAATAGCAAAAGAATTATCCAATCATCTTGTTGGTAATTGATGGTACATCTTAAATACTTTTCTAAGACTTGATTACGAGGCTTTATTTGTCCATCAGTTTGAAGAGGAATGTCAAAGGTAGTTTTATATCTACTTTTAGAATCTTGAAAAGACTCTACCAAAATCTTGATACAAATTGAGTTTTCATATTGGATATAATATCCTTGAATAATCTATGATAGCGATAAATATTGTTAAGAAAAATTTTAGATATTTTTTCACTTGTGATAGATTTTGTATATGGTACAAAATATGCCATTTTGGTAAAACGATCTACTATCACAAATATAGAGTCATAAGAACCTGAGATTGAAAGATCCATGATAAAATCCATAGAAATAGAAGACTATGGTTGTTTTGAAATAGGTAATGGTTGAAGAAGTCAATAATGTCAATGAAGAGGAGTTTTTGATCTTGAACAAATGTTGCATGACTGAACAAAGTCTTTTACATCCTTCCACATTTGTGTCCACCAAAAATCTCTAGATATAAGCTCCAAAGACTTGTTGTATCCAAAATGTCTTGCTAGTGGAAAGTCATGACATGCATGAAGAACAGGTAATAGTGCTTCTCTTTTTGGAACATATAATCAACCTTTGAAATAGAATATGTTATTTTTGAACTAAAACTTAGAAGTATCTTGGGACTTAGAAGAAAGATTTTTGATATTGTAAACAAGAGAATCAAGAGACATACTTGATTAGATTTATTTCCCAAGGATCGAATCAACAGTCAATATTGATTTCATTACTTGAAGATGAAAATGCTCTAGCTTCAAGAGAATTCTTCTTTGCTAATCAAAAGATGCATCTCCTTCTTTTAGTATAAGATAAGAATGTCTAGAAAGGGCGTTTGATAAATCTTATTGTTTTTTGGGTCGATATGTGATCTTAAAATCAAATCTTGATAAAGACATGCTTCAACGAGCTTGGCAACAATTTAAAACATGTATTGATATGAAGTATTCCAGATTCTTGTGATCTGTTGTTGTATCATGTGATTTGCTATTTGGAAATATATTAGGTATGTAGCTATAGAGAATTTAGCTTAAAATTTTATATGTATCTTATCTTAACTTCTAAAACTCCTTTATTTTGAATAAAATTCAAAATATAGTAAAATTGCTTCAAAATATATTTTTTCCACGAAGGATTT